AAAGGGCGAGCATGTTTGGTGGGACGGGGATATTCATTAGAGAAAAAATATTAATGACCTTTTTTTTAGTTTAAGTACTTTTCCCCGTAAACAATAGTAAATTGCTAAAATCGAGAAGTAAGAACATTTTGGCAATAAGATTTCGATATTTTAGCCCCCCAGTGGCACAGCGGTATGTCTGCGGACTTACAATGCTAGAATCCGGGTTTCGATACTCGTGGTGGGCAGAGCACAGATAGCCGATTATGTAGCTTTGTGCTTAATTACAAACAAACAAATCGATGTTTTAATTGGAGCTCGATAGTGCAAGTGTTTAAAAGTCATTATTAATATATAAACAGTGGCTTGGAAATGTTGTCTCTAATTTAAAGATTAAGCAGACTCATTTTATTAATATTTGAGACTATTTACTTAAAAGTTAGCCATCATTATATCGTAGACCAATTTTATAGTTATTTAAAGTTGGTCAATATCTCACAAAACAGAAAAAATATAAATTTTCCATATTTGGACCACAATAGCAGCTGTGGGAATGTTTTAAACTTATCTTTAATGTTTTCATGAAAAGTTGCACGAATATTTAATGTAGAATTCTAACAAAACGTCATCATAATGATATAGCTTATAAATATCATACAGAATTTATATTAGTTTCAGTTTTATTTTAATTTTTTAGGTGTTTTATTTCTCTGGTGTTTATTCACTTTCATTCGTTCATAAAATAAAGTACGCAGTGAATGTGCTGCCATCTAAGAAAGACCGAAAAACTAAATGTCATAGATGTACGCTACAAAATTATATATTAAAACCACACAGTACAGCCTAAGACTGAATCCGTCACTGTAAAAGTATGAAAGCTCTAAAAATTAGAGCAGTTACACTGTATTCCAAAATAAAAAAATTTGCAAATTTGAAATTATATTTAAACTAATTTTGCATATCTTATTTTTTTGTGCACGTAATCGAGACATTCAGAACTTAAGGATCTGAACTACAGATTTATTCCAATATTCCTTTCTATGTCTACGATCAGGTTTTCTATACACTAGAATCTTTAGTTTATAATAACTATTAATTTCCATTCTCTGCTAATCTTATTGACTTTTATATAACATAGTGTTAAGTTAGCAACGTATTCATTATATATTTATTAGCTTACATAGAAAAGTGTTTGTTTTATAGTGAACTGTGAATTCCTATTCTATACTCATCTATCTGTTTTATGATGCAGTGTTTATTTTACAGTAAGCTGTGAATTTCTGTCTGTGCTTAGCTATTGTTCTCTATAATATGATTTGTACTTTACAAATGAATTAAAAGGTGCGCACTCCTTTGAAAGATGTGTTATACAATAAACTGTAGAACAATGTATAATCTATAGATATTACTGTGTCGAGAACATTGTAGCCACAATGGCTCATGTGTTTGTTTGTACTTAAGCACAACGCTACACAATGGGCTATCTGTACTCTGCACAACAAGGGTTTTTAGTGTTGTAAGTCTGCAGATATACCGCTGTGCTAACGGTCAAGCTTTGCGCTTGACAAAAAAGCAAACAAACAAAGTGAATAATGTATAAGCAACACATATTACTGTGCTATGAAAACCAAGTATTCAGTTCTGAATAATGTATAATTTACAGATATTATTGTGTTGAGAGCATGAAGTATTCAGTTTTTAATAATGTATAATTTACAAGTGTAATTTTTTTAAATAATAGGGATTTTGTAAAAGTGTTACACATACGGTTTAAACGTCGAAAGTTGACGAAGCATTGAAAAGCAATAGGCCTAAAATTTGTAATTAAAATCACGAAAACTGCAGATGCTTTTTTCTCATATCCCTCTTAAATAAATCTGTCCAGTTTGCATGATTTTGATCACAAATGCTAGGCCTATGAATTTATTATTGTTATTTATATATATAGTAGAGACAGCTGATATGGGCATTGAAAACTTTTATTTGAAAAGCACAAAACAAGTAACAACGTTTCAACCTCCTTAGGTCATCATTAGGTTAAGAAGGAAATTTTTTTTTCAAATCTCATTCTTAATCTGATGATGACATAAGAAGGTCG